ATGCTTCCAGAATCCTAAGACTTTTTTTTCACATCTCCAAGTTACCAATGATGTTTACGTTTTAGATAAGTGTTATATAATTTGGTATCTGGAAAATGAGTTGCTATGTCAGTCAGATCAATGGAGGCTAAGTGTTTTTAGAAATGTACATACCTAACATCACCAGGCTGTCGTTTACCAAGATTGAGCAAGATGATTGAAAATCCAGTCCCTAGTATCTGAAACCCCCCGTGATAACAAAGAAAGCCATCAAAGGAGATTAAACAGAAACGACTTGTTAGAGACACTACCTCTCTATACAAAATGTCTCATATTCAATGGCATTGCAAAAACGTTGGGCATTTTCAGGAATCCAGACATTGAAGATAAAGATGACTTACAAATATAGGGCCCAGATCCCACCGATGTGCAATAGGCGCCAAGATAAACCACAAGGTGATAATAACCCACATCTTTAGACTTAAAGAGAAAAGTCCCATAAGAATGATATCTAGAAGATCATCACACAACCACAGATCAATAAACTATTTGTTTCATAAGTTCTTGGACATTGCAGATGATGCACATATCAAAGATTAAAGAGTTCTCACCTGGCAGCTTCAACTTGTTACGCAGAAAGTAGTATAACTTCCTCTTCCACCGGCTTGCTGACGGTGGGAGTTTAAACTTCTGCAATGCCAAAAGAGATTTTATAAGGACAGAAACTAAAAAACCATTCTTTACCAGTTAAGAAACCATTCTTTACCAAATCATCATCATCATCATCATCAAATGTCTCAACTCCAGCTGGTGGATTTGGTATTACAGCAACAATAAAGGAATCTACACAATAAAATCAAGACTTGTGCATAACCTAAAGACGCATTTAACAAACACAGATAAGCATTGATGCTTATAACATTTTCAGCAGAACCTGTTTACCTTGGTCCTTGAGCGTAACGTATAAATCATCTCCATCTTCTTCGTCTTGCAATGCCTTTCCACGAAGAATCATCCTTAAAGTTGAAACGGGAAATTTACCCTTTTCCGCAATTGCATTTCTCAAATCACGAATCTAAAATCAGCCCAAGGATCAATCAATCATTCCCTTCGTACAAAGGAATTCACTTAGAGAGATAAAGAAGAAGAAAATTCTTTACTTTGATATGAGACGCCACTCGAATTTGAGACGGCCGAGCTGGGCCGATGGTTTTGTACGTGATCTCGACGGTGCCATTGTTGGTTGAATCTGAGCTCAGCTCTTCGGTTGAATTCATCATCTCACCACGAATTGTATGCAATCAATGAGAAATTGAGGATTAGGGTTTCGAATTTGGGAATTGAAAAAAACAGAGTTTGTTTTCTCACTTGCTACTTCTCCGATGACGGAGAGTCGACTTGAGTTTTCAATATTTTCATATCTGTCCTTACATATGTTTTTAATTCCACTTTTAACCCCAAAGGTTTCAGAGAGTATAAAAAACTCCAAAACATTGGAAAAGCAATTGTAAGAGCTTCTGCGTCAAAAAGAAGGTTTGGGTTACACTTTTCATACACACCATATGCATAGGATGAGGCCTTCAATTTCTGCCTTACATATCAAAAGATAGAACACACACACAAATAAAGCAAAGAAACAGAATATCTTTGAGATCTCCTCTTTATTTGGAGAAGACAAAACACAGAACAAGAATTAGAAAGAAGGGAGAGAAAGCAAAAATGGCACTAAGAATGTGGGCTTCTTCTACAGCAAACGCTCTCAAGCTTTCTTCTTCTGTTTCCAAGTCTCATCTCTCTCCTTTCTCCTTCTCTAGATGCTTCTCCACAGGTGTTTGTAATTGTGTATGTAGTTGTGTGTGCATAGCTTTATCTGAAACTGTTGATGAATGTCTCTGTTATTTTTTTAGTTTTGGAGGGTTTGAAGTATGCAAATTCACATGAGTGGGTTAAACATGAAGGCTCTGTTGCCACCATTGGCATCACTGCCCATGCTCAGGTTCTTATTTTTGTAATCTAAGTGTTAAAATAGCTCAGAAACTAGATAGATGTCTCTTTGGACTTTTGGAGAATGGTTATAAAGATAATGATAGTTTTGTAAGATTATTGGCTGAAATGGGAGGAGAAATGACATTGATGTTGCAGGACCATTTAGGTGAAGTGGTGTTTGTTGAACTGCCAGAGGACAATACTTCAGTGAGCAAAGAGAAAAGCTTTGGAGCAGTGGAGAGTGTGAAGGCAACAAGTGAGATCTTATCACCAATCTCAGGTGAAATCATTGAGGTTAACAAGAAGCTCACAGAATCACCTGGCTTGGTACAGTTTTAAAGTCTTAAGGAAATTAAGTAAGTTACCACTCATGTGACAACATATAAGCAATGATTTGGCAATTGTGTGTTGTTTAGATCAACTCAAGCCCCTATGAAGATGGTTGGATGATCAAAGTGAAACCAAGTAGCCCCGCGGAGTTGGAATCTTTGATGGGTCCAAAGGAATACACCAAGTTCTGCGAGGAGGAAGATGCTGCTCACTAGGAGGGTTTCTCTCTGTCTTTTATGTTCCAAGTTCTATCAATTCTCATGCTTGTTTTCTAAATTTGCATACACTCTATGACCAACTTCACAAAATAAGAGTTCAAGAAGATGAAACAGAGACCTAACAAACACATTAAGATTTTTTCTTTCATATATCTTGTTATCCTCAAAATGCATTTACCATCACCCCAAAAGCCAGTCCAATAAAAAAGGTGATCCTAATCAAAAATTATTAATAAAAATTTGGTAACCTTAAAGATATAACCATTACTTTAAAATAAATAATTGGTCATAAGAAAAGAAACTGGTCGTCCAAATATTACAATCTGCTCCATTATATTGAAATCACGTATTCAAGCTCATAAGGCAAGTTAGGTCCCTATTGGTCAATTTGGTTGTATCTACCGTTGACAAAACTGTAACATCCATTGTGGTAAAAATTGGGCATGAAAACAAACATAACGACATATGATAACATACAAGGAACATAATATTAACGAAGCACACACATGACACGTATATATATATTCATATGCACACAAACACAGATAGAGATGAACAGAAACACATGACATAACTTTCCAAATGGAGATCAAGCAGAAGAAAGTATGGCTTTCTTTAATTGTGCTTTATGCAATTACGACATCAGTTTTGGGGGACTTTGGAGAACCATTACTGAAGGGTTTCTACAAAGAGAGTTGCCCATTGGCAGAGGAAATCGTGAAGCATAACATCGAAGTTGCTGTTCTCAAAGATCCTCGTATGGCGGCTTCTCTTCTTCGTCTTCAGTTCCACGATTGCTTCGTCTTGGTTAGAAAATCATCCCTCTCTACTCTTTTAACTTCCTCATTTGTGAGGTTTTATAATTGTTCTCTCCGAGATGATAACTTTATCAAGTATTTTTGAGGCTCTAATTCTAGCATACTTCTTGAACGTTATTCGAAATTTGCGTGTATGAGAGTGAGACTGTCTTATTGCGTCTATGTGATGTTCAGTTGCGGGATTTATTGTGGGTTTAGGGTTGTGATGCGTCTGTGCTCTTGGACACACATGGAGATATGTTGAGTGAGAAACAAGCAACTCCAAATCTGAACTCTTTACGTGGATTTGAAGTAATCGATTACATTAAGTACCTCCTCGAAGAAGCTTGTCCTCTAACTGTCTCATGTTCCGATATCCTTGCCTTGGCCGCTCGTGACTCAGTCTTCCTGGTAATTTCCCCCTTGCACTTTACTTCCTTAAGGCTCTTTCTGTTTAAATCGAAACCTATGTGGTCAGTTTCATTTAAACACAAATATTGTTTGGTATCATCAGAGAGGTGGCCCATGGTGGGAAGTTTTGCTAGGGAGAAGAGACTCATTAAAGGCAAGTTTCGCCGGAGCAAACCAATTCATTCCAGCACCAAACTCCTCTCTCGACAGCCTCATCATCAATTTCAAGCAACAAGGGCTCAACATTCAAGATCTCATCGCTCTTTCGGGTGCTCATACAATAGGTAAAGCGAGATGCGTGAGCTTCAAGCAACGCATTGTTCAACCAAACATGGAACAAACGTTCTACGTCGATGAGTTCAGAAGACACAGCACGTTCCGTCGAGTCCTAGGGTCACAATGCAAAGATTCAAGCCGAGACAACGAACTGTCTCCACTGGATATTAAGACACCAGCTTACTTCGATAACCATTATTTCATCAATCTGTTAGAAGGGAGAGGGTTGTTGATTTCGGATAACGTTCTGGTCTCAGAAGATCATGAAGGAGAGATCTTTCAGAAAGTTTGGGAATATGCAGTTGATCAAGATCTTTTCTTCATAGATTTTGTGGAATCTATGTTAAAAATGGGTAATATTAATGTTCTTACAGGTATTGAAGGTGAAATTAGGGAGAATTGTAGATTTGTCAATATCTGAAATCACACATCAATCAATACAAATTGTTTGCACTTCTTTTGGTCTTCCAATAAGGCATCAACTTCACAAAACTTATTACAACTTCGATAAGTTCCATTATTTTCTCCATTATAACAATGTCCAATTAAGTATGATACAGGTCTGTTTGTTGGAATTGTTTCTGCTTAAGGCAAGTGAATTGTCAAAATAATCTCAGCTTGTCATCTAAGCTGACAATTGATAACTCCAATTATTGAAGACTCTGTTTTGTTCCGAAGTAAAATATCCAAATATTTTCAAGGCATCAGTAGAAAACCTTTGAGAATTGTTTTTGCATTTAAAGTGAATAGAACTGTGAACAAGTCAAATTAATTAGTCAAGTGATTTCCATTATGCACAACTAGTAAAAAAAAAAAAAAACATTCGGTATATTTTCTGGGCATCAGATAATCATAAAAGTTAGCATCACATAGAATCAGACGCAAATTACCCATGAAATATAATTTCATCATATGCCCAGTAGAAAACAAAGAGAATCAAAAACCAAATCCTTAAAATCGACAAGACATTCGAATTGTACAAAAACATAAAAGAGACTTTGAATCTGAGTATCAGTTCTCCAAGGTGAATAAAACATCAATGTAATTTCAGTAGTAAATAACATCAATATATGAGATTCATCCTATACTCAGATTCAAAAGAAAACGATTTTTTTAAGGATACAAAAACGAAATATTAAAATTGAAAACAAGATTTTAAGGATTTTTATTGTAGAGTCGATCAGAACCTGTCGAGAACACAATTACATCACATATATCAGTGGATTGACAGACCTGTGAATTTCTATCGTCACCTCGACTCATAAAAGTCCTTAAAAGAGTTTTTACAAAAATCCGAAAAAAACATGAATTGAGGAAGAGATTAAGATCTAGAAAAGCTCAGAACTTCTTAGAGGGTTGTGTATTACCGTCAGCGATGGATTAACCATCTCTGGCACACGATTTTTTCCTCACAGCTCTTCTATTTAAATAAATTTCTATGCACACATCGAAAAACAGAGCCAAACAAAATCACAGATGACAAAACCCTAAGAACTAATTGAGGCGGAACACAAAACAATAGACTTGTCTTGTGGTTTGATATGTGAGTCTTCTATATATACTAGTTGACACTAGTCAAATAAAAGCCCTAATTATGACTCAACCTATTCTTTTGGGCTTTTTTTTTATTTTTTTGGTTGGCCGTGGACTGTACAATCCAATACATAGATTTGTCTGATTATGAAACCCATTATCAATTTGTCAACAAGATTTTTGAGCCAATTTGCACCATGTTAAATGTAGATACGATACAAGATGTTCTATATATTAAGTTAAAAACTTGTGTACACCATAATAAAAAATCGGTTCAACACCATTTGTGCATCCATAATAATTTTGAGATGTGGAGCAAATAAGAAAAACCTAAGCTGTATCAAAAGACAATGCAAGCAAATTTTGTTGAAGCTTTCCGGTTAGAACATGAACCGGGATAAACTTTCTAAACCGACTAACAAACCAAGAATCGTTCAAATTGTTGGTTGCAATGAGAAAGGTCAAAGGAAAATGCTACTGACGGAACTATCATCATGCACACGCCAAATGGTCTCACCCAGGAGATTAGCCACTGATAATATTGTTAACTGCGGGAAGTAATTCTTCTCTGCTACAGGTAATGTGTTTGTCACTATCACTTCTTGCAGCAAACCCCCTGATAATCGCTCTATCGCTGGCGGGCTTCCATATTGATTTGTTTGAAACAAAGAAAACAAATAATGCTTCAGGAAGTAGTGATTTTGAGACTGTTCAGGAACAAACAAAATATAGGTTAGTGGTTTACCTGAAAACAGCGTGTGTGCAGCACGCATATACCTCCCGAGCACCTTCCTGGTGTAACAAAGCTGCTCCTTTTACAATGGTTCCTGAAACAAGAATGGTTCATAGATGATTCAGCCTGGAAAAGGAGAAGTTGATGGGGAATAGAGAGAGATAGGAAACTTGGTTTGTCGGTAAAATGACAACTCCATGCCGTTTTACTAACCAGCAGTATCAATCATATCATCCACCATTATTGCCACCTTCCCTCTTACATCACCAATTAGGTTCATGACCTGAAAGGAAAGTATAACAAATGTGAACTTAAGGGGAAGCAAGCGGTGTTGGTGAGCAAACTCTGACTCTGAAAGAAAGGGATACCTCAGCAACATTGTGTCCAGAACGCCTTTTATCGACAATGGCAAGTGGTGCATCTGATAATTTCTTTGCAAAAGCGCGGGCCCTGGCTACTCCACCAACATCAGGAGAAACCACTACCAAATCCTCTGAGGGAATTGACTTGCTAGCAAGATAATCAAGTATCACCGGCTGAAACAATTAAGCAGATAAAGGTATTATACACAAAGGAGCATACACACAATGCATAAAGAGGGGTATCAAGAACGTGGCTTTAGAGGTGAACCTGGCAGTACACATGGTCGACTGGAATGTCAAAATAACCCATCGACTGTCCTGAATGAAGATCACAAGCAAGAACTCGATCTGCACCAGCTTCAGTGATAAGATTTGCAACCAATTTGGCAGCAATGGATTCACGCCCTTGTGTCTGCAAGCAGCAAAACATACAATTTTATCCAGAAAAGATTACCAATAGCTAAGTTATCAACAAACCCTCCATATCATGTGAAAGTAGCTAAACCACACAAAGAGACTTTACCTTCCTGTCAGCTCTTGCATATCCAAAATACGGAATCACAGCTGTAACTTTCTTAGCTGATGCTCTTCGGCAAGCATCTACCATAATCAAAAGCTCCATGAGATTCTCATTAGTGGGAGTGCAAGTAGGCTGCACCAAATAGACGTCACATCCCCTAACGCTCTCTTGTAGCTGAACATAGATCTCTCCATCAGCAAACCTCTTAATATTAACCTTGCCAAGATCCAAGCCCATATACCAAGCAATTTCCTGAGCAAGTGCTGGATTTGCAGTACCAGAGAACAACTTCAACCTTGTATTGGTTCTATTGACTGATTTCTCCATACGAGCAGATTCCAAGAACTTTGGAAGTGTCCTCTCATTAATAATTGGGATACTTGGATTCCCGTTTCCCACATTCAATGACTCCGGCATATCACATTTCTAGCAACAACAACAACAAGACTCAATCAGAGATTCATATAATCATATAGGTCTCAATTTCTGTTCCTGGATAGTTTCAAACAAATGTATTCTGAAGAAAGAGACAACCTTTATGTAGCTATATTCGCATAAACAAACAATATTCAAACGAAAGAGACGAGCTTTTCAGCTCATGCGCCAATAAAAATCTCAGAACTACAAACTTGACAAGATGGCTATTAGGGTCCACTCAATCTAGGAACCTCAAATCCGGAAACGTAATAAGAAAGGAAGGATCAACATTCAAAAATGCAGAATAAGCAATTCTATAGATTCATGAACACCGCTTACAACACAAGCGAAGACAGAGTTTCGGGAGCGAAACTGAGAGGTTCTGACGGATAGAGAAGAGTTAGAGAAGAAAGTTGAAGACGAAGAGGCTAGATACGTCGGCGTTTTTGCGGCGGGAGGAAAGGATAGACCCAGAGACGCCATTGTCAGCAATACCTCACGTAAACCCACCTCTGACTCACTCAAGCAGTCTATTCCACAACGAATTCGGAAAAATTATGGTTTAGGATTTTGAAGGTGACAGAGTGATACGGAAGAAGGAATGGCTTAATGGTTTTCTTCTCTCCTTCTTCTTCGTCTCCGAGTTTGTGTTGGACTCTTCTTTCTCGAATTTGGATTTTTTTTTTTTTCGTTTTGTGAAAAATAAATAGGAAATGGTTTGGTTGGTGTGTACAAGACTACAAGTTGTTACTAAACGACATCGTTTGATGGATTGGAGACGTCTGGCTGGACTTTTCTTAGGATTAATTAACTTTTTGGGATTGATTGAAATCTTGGTCTCTTCATTTTGTATTTCACCAAATGTCTCAAAACTCAAAAAAAATTTACTAACTTATTTATTTAGAATATTGAAATTTAAACTTTTGTATTTACATTGTTATAGAATATACACCAATCAAATTCAGTTTTAGTCAAATTCGAGTTTTGACTTCAAAGAGAAAAATCATGAGATTCATCACTTTTTTGTTCTTCCATTTGACTGCAATGTGGAGGGATTGGAATTTATTGGTATACCAAAAAAAATACATGATATACGGTTAAGTTCCTCGTGCCATTTACCTTCAAAAACCGAAGTTGGTAGACCCGGTTCACAATTCATTTTTTTCCGAATAACCAAACCGGCCCAAAAAGTTTTATCCTTTTGTCTCGGTCTAATCCATTTCTCTAGTGCCAAAGCTAACAATGGCGGTTTTGGAAGCTTCTCTCTCCATTTTCTCCTTCTCTTCTTCTTCTTCCTCTTCAAAACCTTATCTCTTTTCTAAACGCTCTTCTTCCTTAAAACTTACTGCCCTTAGTCTTCGAATTCCCAGCAATCTCTCTCCCGTCTTCTCTCTACGTTCCGGCAGCGATAACTCACGGCGGCTCGTCTCCGTACTCTGTTCCGTCGCGGAGAAAGAAACATCGGCGGATGAAGAAACGTCGCAGGAGGAGAAGACTGAAGAAACCCAGAATTCAAATCTGAAAAGGAAGCTTTTTGTATTCAATCTTCCTTGGTCTATGAGTGTAAATGACATTTCCGAGCTCTTTGGACAATGTGGGACTGTGAACAATGTCGAGGTCTTTCTTCTTTCTCAATTTCGTTTCAATCTTTATGTTATTACTAGCAATTGCCTTACCTCAATTTATAAACTTTTCCTAGATTATAAGGCAAAAAGATGGAAAGAACCGAGGATTTGCTTTTGTAACTATGGCTTCTGGAGAAGAAGCTCAAGCAGCTATTGATAAGTTCGATACTTTTGTAAGCTCAAATCCCTTAGATTCTTTTCTGATTGAGTGTTGTTTGTTTAATTTCAAAGCCTTTTAGGTAGATAGTTCAAACTACTAAATCATACATTGTGTTGAGTTGTTAGCTAAGGTTTGATGTTTAAGCTTCTATCTTCTTTGTTTTCAGCAAGTGTCAGGGAGGATCATTAGCGTAAGCTTTGCAAGAAGGTTCAAGAAGCCTACTCCGAAATCACCGAACGATCTTCCTTCTCCTGCCCCTGGAGACACTCGTCACAAACTCTACGTATCTAATCTCGCTTGGAAAGCAAGATCAACACATCTCCGAGAGCTTTTCACTGCTGCAGATTTCAACCCGGTCTCAGCTCGGGTTGTTTTCGCTGACCCCGAAGGTAGATCTTCTGGCTATGGCTTTGTCTCATTTGCTACTAGAGAAGAAGCTGAGAATGCAATCACAAAACTCAATGGGAAGGTATGAAGTTCCAAGCATATTAATATAAAGTTTGCTCCTTTAGCCTTGAGCATGTAAAGTGTTTCATTACAATTTGGTTTTTCTATAGGAGATAATGGGTAGACCTATCACTCTAAAGTTTAGTCTGAGAAGCGCCAGTGAATCTGAAGATGGTGACAGTGTAGAAGCTAACAACGCTTCTGAAGATGGAGACACTGTAGAAGACAAAAACACTTCCGAAGAAAACATTGTGGAGTGACTCTTATTATTTTCTCTGTTATCCGATAGGAGCATGAGAATCTGACTAGAGATCTTATTACAGTTTTGAAATAACTACTGCTACAAAGAACACAATAATGAAGATGTAACAGAAATTCAGTAAACTATACTTCAATCCTGCTAATGTGTGATGAATCACCAAGCCATTGCCATCCTGCTCCTTCATACCGAGTAAGTTCGTCGAACGAGACACAGCTTCCTGTTTGGTAATGCCTTCTTTTGGACTTCACATTAGCATCCGTAGTCTTAACCATGAAATGTCCAGTAGAATGTGACCTCGAGAATCGCCAAGCCGAGGCTTCTATTAGCCTTTTGCTTGAACCAGCGGTTGGAGGATTTTC